GACATAATATTATGTGTTTTTTTCAATATTATGACTTTGTTCTCAGAATTAATTTAATTATTGTAAATTCTGATTTTTTTCTTGAAATAATATGATTTTATTTTGATGAAATTTAAATGTAAATTACAATTTTTGAAAAAAAATTATCACTTTTTTCTTACAATGCATGTAATATTACAACTTTTTTCTTGAAATAATATGATAATTTATTCTGATTAAATTTCAATATCTTTCTCATCATATGACATTTTTTCCTAAAGATATTATGTTTACTCTTATTAAATTCTGACTTTAATATTACGATTTTGTAAAAATATAATGACTTCTCATAAAATTTTGACTATATTGTAATATGACAGGTTTTTTAAAAAAATCTGACTTAATTCTGATGAAATTTCAACTTCATTCTTGTAAAATGACTTTACTTTATTTAATATATTCTAACTTTATTCTTATTAAATTCTGACTTTACTATTACATTTTTAAAATATTGTGACTTTAATCTAAAAAAATTTGGGACTATATTCTTGTAGTATTACGATTTTTTTCTGGAAATATTATGACGTGATTCTCATGGAATTCTGATTTTATTCTTAAAATAATACTACTTCTCTCTTGAAATATGACTTTATTCTCATCAAATTTTGACTTTATTTTTGTAAGTAATTTTTTTCTTGAAATATTGACTTTATTTTCATGAAATTATGACTTCAATTTCATTACACTGACTTTTTTCTTGAAATAATATGACTTGATACTCATTAAATCATGACTTTAATATCTTGACATTAAAACTTACATTATGACCTTATTTTCACAAATTACATCCTTATTTTCATAATTTCATGACTTCCTTTACTTGAAATATTATGACTTAATTCTAATAATATCTCTAATATTTAATTGTAAGGAACTTGTTAAAACTATTTTTCTCAGAGGTTATTTAAAAAAGTGAAATGTTATTTCCACTTTCTTTAAGAGTTACGATGAGATAACCATAACACAACAGCAAACTTTTGTTGTATGTGTGTGTGTAGATAACCATGTGTCATCCCGAGGCCCGCCCCCTGCTGTGTGTCCCCGCCCCCCAGCCTCCACCCTTTCTGCACCCTCTCCCCGCATGGTGAGTCTCATTTAACACTCAAGTAATAATTTCAAACATATTTGAATTGGTGATATCAGTTTTGTTAACTAAACCTGTGTGTGTGTGTGTGTGTGTGTGTATGTGCGCAGCCGGGAGAGTCACTGTCCTCTAGAAGAGACCACTCTCCACACTGCGGGGGGAGAAAATGTGAGTATCGTTTAAATCTCCCTCTGTCTTGCCGTCATAGCTCAATAAATGTGAACACACAGACATGAGACATGTTAATATCCTTCATTTATCTCCGATGTCCATCCAGAATAAAAGTCCATAAATCAGCTTAGAAATCAGAGAAAAAGGAGGATGCAGAACTCACCTGAGAAAAAAGTTTTCTTCAGTGTTACAGTGACCCAATGATAGCTGTCTGTACATCCACGGCTACACTACAAACAAGGCTATTCAAGAGAAGGCTGAGACACGGGGTCAAACATGGGGGGATTGTACATGCGCAGTAAAATCTGGTCTGCACTTCCTCAAAGGCTCTGTAGATGGCGTGAGACTGCGGAATAAGGGGGATGTGCATGCATGTCATTTTCACAGCTTATTATTGGACTGTTACTGGTGGCCTGCGTTGTGGGTGAAAATGACAGAGACGCAATTCTGACAACTTCAGGCAGCTGCTGTCCAAAAGTCCAAGCAGACTGCACCAAGCGCACTCCTTGATCGCCTGAGTGGATCCTGCCCTTTTTATCTAGCGCCCCTGCTGTCACCCTCTAGCATCGCAGTTCAAGTTACACTGCACATGTGCAATCCCCCCATGTTTGACCCCGTGTCTCAGCCTTCTCTTGAATAGCCCTGACTGCAAACAGGAAGTGCTCACAGATCTTTCGGTATACTTTGATTCTGTTGTTGTGTTCAGTTCCTCCAGGGCCGCCGCAGATCTTTCGTGAAAACAAACCAGGCAGAAGTTCAGGATCCAACCTGTCCCCTGTCAGAGGTAATCCTGAACCCAACATGTTCCTCTTTTAAAGGACGACACCACCATTGATTTCTTTGGTTTTACTCCAATTTGTAAGAAAAATAATCTGCAGAAAGGAAAAACATCACTGTTAACACTGACATCATAGGCTCACCAAATATATATATATATTTAAAAAAAACCTTTGTAACTTACACTTTTGGTGCATTCAGGGACCCGCTGACAGCTGAATTTCAGAGTCATTGTTTCATTTTGATGCACAAATAATGGTAGCTCGTTGCAACAACATGCAAAAAGAGGAAAAACACAGTTTAAAATTAAATATCCAACTCAACAAGTTTTATTATTGTCATCTTTATTTTACTGTGCTTTGTTTTACCAGCTTCATAACTGATTTTCTTTGCAGTCGTCTTCCCTGAAAAAACACACAAAGATAATGTAACAAAAAAAGATTGTATTAAATTAATTGTGACTGATCGATAATGACTATGAATTTATTAATCTGATATTTTAATCATGATAGCGTTTACTTTTCTCCACAGGAACTAATCGCAACACAGTGGAAAGGGTGAGTCCTGCTTTTTAAATTATCTTAATACAACAACACTCCACAGTTCAGAGTTCACACATTTTGACCCATAAATTTCCACCACGACTTTGAGGCAGACTTTCATGACCATTATGTGTTCTCTGAAACGTCTATGTGTAAAATTTACTCTGAGCACATCAAAGTATAAAACATGTAATTTCCTCTTGCCAGTAGGTGGTGTGAGGATAAATAATGTTCTCAGTTAAACTAATCATGGTAAACTAAAGAGAAAGAAACTCTGCTTACCAGCACTGCCGCGCCATGTGATGATGAAGGCCCAATTCCAATCCGATCCCTTACAGACTCACTGACTTAGAGGTGCGTTCATGTAAAGTGCGTGAGTGTGTGAGGGCTGTCCCATTGTCAAATCATCAAGTCAGTGAGTCAGTGAGTGAGCCCTTTATGCCCCCTTACCGTAGGTCAGCATCGATGTGGACTTACGGTAAGGAAATTACAGTTCATAGCGTTGTGACGTCAAATACAGGGGTTGCCATCGGAACACCGGAAGTGTTATAAAAAAAAAACAAAACGAAAACACAGTCGGCAGATATGCAAACGGTAACGTTATGGAAGGAGAGTGAAAAAACAGATAGATAAACAATGAAACATTACATTAACAAGGATTTAAGATGGTACATAAACACACATGAGGTCAGAGGAATACCAGTGGTTATATTCCACAGACAAAGAATATATATATATATATATAGAGAGAGAGAGATCTATTTATCTATCTATCTATCTATCTATCTATCGATATATATAGATATATATTCTTTGTGTGTAGAATATATGCTGACAATAACCGATAAATGATCACGCCCAGAGCCGCCAATGTTAACAACATTTTGTAGAGAGGGGGATAAGTGCTGTCCCATTCCTATTTGTAGCATCCGGAGCCCTTTCAGACTCACACTCAATCACTTACAGCTGATGTCAGTTAAGTCAGTGAGGGTTCAGGGCTTGAGTCTTTAGGGGCCGGATTGGAATTGGGCCGAAGAAAGGAGTGAAAGGGTGCAAGGGTTTAAACAGTGCTTAGCAGATGAACTCCATCAGATTAATGACGAGTGAACAAAGAGTCAAAGTAACCAATCAGTGCTGAGGAAAGGGGAGGAAAGGAAGCAAAGTAAAGGAAGTGTCAAAATAAAGGAAATAGGAATCTTTACTACAGGTAGCACTATAACTATCACAAAATATTTTTTATTTTTTATTTTTTTTTTATATTTTTTATTTTTTATTATAATATACAATCACATCAACTCTCTAGGAAGAGTTTGTTAAAGTATGACCTCTGTAAATGGCCAAAAATGCACAAAAATTGCACAGTAAATTCAAAATGGCCGACTTTCTGTTGGGTCTAGGATATGGCTCCAAGAGGCTATTTTATGTCTTGGGGAGGTCACATGTGCCTCTTAATTTTGTGGATTAAACATACCATGGAGGCTACCTCATTGAAGTTTTATAGGGGGTGCTACTGAACCCTATTTTTTTTAAGCACGGGATTTGTAAAATATGAAAATTTTCAGCAGTTCTGTTATGTGTGAGTTTTCAAGCATCTTTAGCCCCCTGGAAATATGATTTATGTGAGAGAAAAATAATTCCTTCAGTTTCAACAGGGTCCTCCTCACACTGTTCAGTGCTCAGGCCCTAAAAATCCATGTCAAAATTTATCAGTCAGTCACTTAAAATATGGAGCCAGTCCAAAAGTACATATACTGTAAATAAAAAAAATGCATGCAAACCTGGGAGCTATCTGGCTGTTGGTGAAACCATGACCTGATAAAGCTGCACATGGTTTCATATGGCTTGTGGGAATAACGTGAGTGAGAGTTAGCCACCTATAGCGCCCGTGGTACCTCTGCAGTTTGAGCTTTGTGTCTGGGCACAGCACCTGAAATGGTCTCTTGTTTGATGGTGGATGAGAGGGAAGCACTGCAGTTGCAGCTAGTGTATTCTGTTATACAAGTACTTTTGAAGCAAATTTCCATGACAAAACTTTCTGTGTTTATTATCTTTTAAATTTTTTCCAGGACTTGTGAAACAGCTATTTTCATAATCCATGACCTTTATAGGTTTTTCATGACTGTACATACTCTGGCGGTTTTCAGGTGGATCCATGTAAATATTTCAAAACTGATCTGCAAACTGACCACATGAATGACAAAGAAAACTGAAAACAAAAAGGGACCAATAGGAGGACATATGACAGACACTGAAACCTTGTAGTTTTTTTAAAAGAATAGTTTGACTTTTAGTTTTTATTGTGTTAATGTTATTTCTGTGTTTCTTACAGGGGGGGACGCAGCCTTGGAGGTAAATGCTGTTCATCATACTCATTTAGGATAAACAAAGGGGGTACCACAAGGCTCTGTCCTGGGTCCTTCACTATTTACACTTTACATACAGGACTCCTGCACATTTTACCAATAAATGTTTTAATCTTTCCAAAAAATAT